CACACACACACACACACACTTTTATTTCAGCTCAAGGAGGTGGGCTCTATTCAACTCAAGCAGAGCAGTATGTCTCATCCCTTGGTCACAGTGATTAGATTGGGAGGGGCCAATAGAGAGTGAATCCCAGAGGATTTCCTTACCAAAGCACTCTCCCTCCCTGGCTAGAGTAGTGGGAGAGGTGAGGTCTGGAGCCACTGTGAGCTGCAGTAATGTTGCTACCAGGAAGAGAGAGCCTGGGGGTGGCAATGAGCGAGGTTAAGAATAAAGCCAAGTGCAATGACAGTGATAGGCAGAGCGGACAAACAGAGGATCTAGGTCTTTGGTAGCATTGTTTGAGTCATTGGTTCAAGTCTCACATGAAGCCAACATTCCTCTGAACTTCTCTCTTCCCTGAGGTAGTACATTTTCTCCATGGTTAAAACTGGAATGAGTCCTTCTAACACTTGCAATGGGAAGACTCCTAATGGATACGCCTGTCCATTCTTGCCCCAACTCTCTCAGGCTTTCTCTTGACCTGCCCCTTGTTTGTCAAGTGACCAATAAAGCTTTTTTGAAAAATGTGTAAAGCAATTTATAGTGGGGAGAGAGTTTGAGGAGGAAGAGTCAAAAAGAGATAAGCAGTTGTTCCCTTTATGACTGAGAGGGTAGATTGAATCGTTCAAAAACCTGTATTGAATGCCTACTATGTGCCAGGCAGTATTCAATATGAACCAAGTTACTGCTCTCCTGAAGCCAGCATCCTGGGGAGGGGCAGTGGTGGGAGACACAAGGCACAGAAGAATCAATAAACAAAGATATTAGGTGTGAAAATGCTATACAAAGAATCAAAACAGGCTGGTGCCATGTTGGTTCTGGTTAAATAGGGTGGATTTATCATCCTTTCCTCCCACTGAAGGCAGCCAGAAGCCCTGGACAGAAGGAACGGGGTAGCCATCTGAGGACTCTAAACAATAAATGGGAGCAGGAAGATTTGGGAAGGAAACCAGAATTCAAAATACCACCAAACTGGTGGTGTTTCCCATTTTCCTTCCTCTGTATCTCCCAGCTTTGGCTCAAAAACAGTGTGGAACCAGAAACTGTGCACAGGAGACAAGCAAAAAAACATCCCCAAGGCCTGGCCGAGTGGCTCAGTTGGCTGAGTGTAAGATTTTAACAACAGGGTCGCTGGTTCGATTCCCACATGGGCCAGTGATCTGCACCTGAGCTGAGCTGACAACAGGTGGCAGGATGGCTCAGCTGGTGAGAGCACGTGCTCCTAACAACAAGGTTGCCAGTTCAATTGCTGCATGGGATGGTGTGGGCTATGCCTACCCGCAACTAAGATTGAAACACAGCATTGAGCTGAGCAGCCGTGAGCTGCCGACGTGCAGCCAGTCTTGGAGCTGAGATAACTGCGCCCTCCACAACTAAGATTGAAGGACAACAACTTGGCTGTTCCCCTTCCCCAATAAAAAAAAATATCTCCAAAAGAAGCCCTTGATTGCTGGTCTGAGGAATGGGAAAGAGCCCTGACAGAGTGTAGAAAACCCAGTTTATTTGTGTGTTTCTCATCTTTTCTGCCCAGCCTCCAGGCAGTCTAGTGACAGTAGTGCTGGCAGTGGAACTGGCAGCCAGACAGGGGACCAGTATACTGAGGGAGGGGAACTCTTCTCCCAGACCAAAGGAACTGTACTCCTAAGAACACAGGGATATATATATATATATATATATATATATATATATATATAATATCCCCAATATAGCTATATAGATATCTATCTCCAATAACTTTCCTCTTTGCTAAAATATCACTATATATGTTTACTTTTTGACTAGCCATAAATCTATGGCATCCCGCATTCCAGATTCAGTGGATGAATGTTAATTTCTTCAGCAATTCAATCAACACTCAACAAATATTTATTGAATGCTGACTATGAGCAAGCCACTATATTAGGCACAGAGGATACATCAGTATTTAAAACTAAGATTCCATGCGAAGGATTCATTTTGGCAGGGGAACACAGACAATTAATGACAAGTATAGATATTAATTTTTGAAAAGGTGACAAGTACTATGGAAAAAAATAAAAATAACAGGGTAAAGGGGATTGGCAGTACCAGAGGGGAGGCTGCCATTTTAAATAGAGCACTGTCTTAGTTTCCTAGGCCTACTGTAACAAAGTAACACAGAGTGTGGGCTTAAAGAACAGAAATTTATTGTCTCACAGTTCTGGAGGCTACATGTCCAAAATCGAGGTGTTAGTAGGATTGGTTCCTTCTGAGGGCTGTGAGGGAAGGATAGGCCTGTCTCCTTGACTTGTAGACCTGTCTTCTATCTGTGTCTCTTCACATCATCTTCCTCTGTATGTGTCTCTGTGTCCTCATTTCCCCCTTTTTTTTTAAAAAAATAAGAACAACAGTGATATTGGCTTAGCGCTCTCTCTAATGACTTCACTTTAACTTTATTACTTCTGTAAAGACCCTTTCTCCAAAAAAAGGCCACATTCTGGTCCTGGGGTATATAACTTCAAAACATGAACTTTGGGAGGACACAATTCAATCCGTAATAGGTGGTCAGGGTAGAAATCATTTGTAAGGCAATACATCCTAAATCTAACCTTTTTTTCCATAAAGCTCTGTGATAAGAGAACTTTGTGACTAAAATATCTAAAACATAAATATCCAAACATAATGTATGGATCCAAGAGCAGTTGGTTTTTCCAACCATTTGAAGCCCAAAATCTGTGAAATCTCTATTCCCTTGTCAACTATCTCTTAAATTCATCTCATTCTTGGAATATCTTGCCAACCTCAACTAATTGCTGTTTATACACACCATTACTTTGAATTTTTTTCAACCAATTCCTGTACAGCTGCTGAGATACTAGCAACATAGTCAGCTTGCAACTTACAAGGTCAGACAATTAAGTTCACAAACTCATCCTAAAAAAAGTGCTGCATACCTCATTGCTGAATATCACTATGGTCACCTTCGAAGTACTCCCCTTGGGAAGCTATGCACCAACCCTAGCACCTAGTCCACCCTTCAAAGCAATTTTGGAACTCTAGAATGGCCATCAGAGCTGTTGTCATTTTACCCTTGATGTCCTGAATGTCATCCAAATGGCTTCCTTTCAATATTTCCTTTATCTTTGGGGTAAAGAAAGAAGTCATTGGGAGCCAGATCAGGTGAGTAGAGAGGGTGTTCCAATAGCGATATTCAGCAATGAGGTATGTAGCACTTTTTCTAGGATGAGTTCACGAACTTAATTGTCAGATCTTTGTATACCTAAAGAAGTGATTACCATAAATCCAGCAATCACCTGACACTGTACTATGCTATCACAATATTATTGACTATATTCCCCATGCTGTACATTACATCTCCATGACTTATTTGTTTTATACTTGAAAATTTGAACCTCTCATTTCTTTTCACCTTTTCCCCCTCTTAAAATTTTCAATTACAGTTTACATTCAATATAATTTTATATTAATGGCAGCAACCATTGCCCCCACCGTAAAGCAAATTCCCTTAAAACACAGTGAGCTATACTTCCAATCACCAATGTGGTGTCCACTGGTGACGCTGCCATAAAGAAGTTCTCTCAGAGGAGATGCAGCCTCAGGCCTGGGAGCCACAACAGTGAAACAGCCAATAGCGCTGCCATAAAGCATGTTTCTTCTGAACAGATGAGACCTCACTCCCTCAAACAGCAGCTGCTGTAAAACAAAGTTCCCGTAGAACAGAAGTGACCTACAGCCAGAAGTGCCAGTATGGTGGCCACCAGTGAAGCCAAGGACCATGACACCTGCCCTTCCCACAGCTGAGACACCTTCCCTCATGCTGCTACTGGGTTTCCCACCTCCGCCCCCATTCAATACACATGTGGGCAGGAGGGAGTGAGGCCACACTAGTATGTACTGTCCTGCCACCTTGAAAATGGAGGAATTCAGCATGTCCCACTCCTTCAACCCCTGAATGGGCAGTGGGGACTGCAGGAGATTAGCCGCCTCCACCTCATCTCCCAGTTCTTCAGCCAGATCGTCTTCTTTCTCACTCTTGATTTTGAGGTCCCCCCGCCCCGCGGCACTTGTGCGACAGCCCTCAGGTAAGATGAGAACAGACCACTCCTATTTAGTTCATTGTCATAGGTAACGGACACTAGCTGCGGAACGAAGCTCTCCCGGCCTGGCTGAGCCAATGGCGACAGATAGAGACACAGGAAATGTGTCAGTGGGACCTGCGGGCAGAAAGAACCACAACTCCCAGAATCCTCTGCAGGAAATACTGCCGAGGAAATACTTGGGTGAGTTTGGAGCAGAGGGCTGCAAGGAGGAGCCCTGCTGCAGCCAGGACAGTCAGGCTCTCCTGGCCCAGTACTTTGGCCAAGTCACTGTAGGCTTTAAATGATACAGAGAATTAATATAATTGACAGCAATAGCACAAAGACGTGAGTGGTACTAAGATCCCTGCTTTTCAGAAATGGTAAAAGTCCTCATTTACACTTTGATAACTCAAAAATGTATAATGACATTTTCATAAAAATTATTTTCCCCCCAAAATTAGTGAGGAGTAGCATTTTTACACTTTTTGGGGGGTGGGGAGAAATCTTTTAAATGTCTGGCTTAATAGAAAATTGCTGCATTCTCATATTTGCTTCTGCATTCAATCTGCTTGTGTTATCTCTGTGGAAGTATATTTTAAAAATCTGGCTACACACGGGTATGTAGTTGGAAAAGGACAGGGTATTTAATATACTTATCAGATAATTGTGGGTATTCTTTTTTTTTTT